AGCAACGCTGCAGGGGTCAGACACCTCATGGCGGCTCAGAGGCCTGATGTTGGCAAAGAGCTCTGCAGAGCAGGCCCGGGGAAGGGCCTGTGAGGCCAGAGTCCGGATTGATGTCAGGCGGCCTCTTCCCAGCACCTGCCGGGCCTGCAGGTACAAGAGTTGTGCGTTACTTTTATTTTGTAAGCACAAAGACGGCTGCTTTGGGAAACAAACAAAACACTCATTACCCAGATCTGGGCTGATTCCAAATGAATGCATGCTGCAGGGTTACCTGACCCTGGTGGCCTGTGGGCAGGCCTGCCGTCATTGCCTCGGGGTAATTGCGGACAATAAAGAGGCTGCCATTACCCATCAATAGATCAATAGCACTTCTGCTCATTCCCCAGCCAGAAGGGTCACTCAGCACCCAAGCACCCTCTCCCTGCTCCTGACCCAGGACAGCCGGGGAGTCGGCTCATGGCACCTCGATGTCACCGACCGGCCATGTTCATCCAGAACCTGTGTCTCCAGAAATATTTTGGCTCTTCAGAGTCAGTGCTTGTTGACAACATAAAACGATTGTATGTCCGTAAAAACGAGTGTGCTTCAGTGTAAACAAGATCTTGTTCCTGACGGACTCCATGGCAACAGAAATATTTACGGTTCCACGTCTGTGTGCTCTGCTGTTGCTTTGCTTTCGTTCTCTCTCTCTTAGTCCAGCCATTAGCTCACATGGAAGTAGGAACAGGAGACACGGCTTTTAGTCTCTTCTCAAATGGCACCGCGGCATTTGAGTGCAGGAAGGATAAATAACCATTACAGTGCCACGGTGCGAACGTGGGCAAGCTGCCTGCGTGGCCTGGGTGTGGCCCTTCCATTCCTGACCCGGTGGTCCCTGGGGCACCCGGAGAGAGAGCGAGTCACCGAAACACAGGGGCAATCACCACCCAAGCAAAACCCGCACCCTGGCTGCTCTAACACCAGCAACCCAAGGACCAGTGAGTCAAGAACCCGATTTCTGACTAAGCACAAGCGTCAGCCTCAAATGGAAATGACCCGGATTTTCAAAACCCTGTATGACCGGATGCCAGCTGTCAAGGCAAGTGCGTTCCAGCAGGATCCTGAGGCCAGAGAGCAGGCCAGGGGCTCCGCACGCATGTCCCAGGAGGGCTGCCGGTGCCTCTGAAAGACGGAGTCTTCAAGAGCTGCTAGGAAATGTGCACCTCTAAGATTTCCCTGTAATTCCTGTCATTATTAAGCAAAGTAGTTTAACCTGAAATTGCTGACATTTCATTCCCTCAAAAATGCTTCCCTGTATGCAGACAGCCCTTATTCTGCTCACATTTCACTTTTTGTGAGTTGCATAAAGTAATGACAGCTCCCCCAGAAGCTCCATAAAGCAAGGGAGAGCCTTGGGTTTAAATGTTTCCGGTGTAACAGAAGCTGAACTCTTCTTCCCTAGGGGAGGCAAGGTGAGGACGGGAGCCCCTGGGGGTCTCTCTGCCCGGACCCCGGGTTTCATCAGAACTTGCTCTCACCCTCGGTAGCCCAGCCACACGCTGCCTCCGCCTGCCAGGCCCTTCCTCCCCCACCTCACCTCTCCCGGGTCCCTCCTCTGTGCGCCTGTTACAGGGACAGGAACTCGCCTCAGAGTTCCAGTGACAGACCTAACAACACAATTTCATGTTCTCATTAAAGATGAATTCTAGCCATGTTTTCTGTGAGCTGCACTAGCCGACATCGCATGTAAAAGCTCCCTTTATTCGTGTCCCGTGTCCTCTAGGTGCAGAGTCCTGGCTTCCCGCAGCTCTTCCCACAGCTCTTCCCGCCTAGGGGCACAGGACGCGGCCCAGGCCCTGCCAGCTGGCCGCCCGCGGGTCCCACGCTGATGGCGTCACTGGGCAGCTCTCCCAAATCCGCAGGAAACTGTCCAGGCGGCCATGGGCTGCAGATACCACTTGGGGGGAAATATTTTACATATAAAACCAAGCATGGTTTAATTTCAGAGTTTTATGAGAATTTCTATATTTAAAAAATGTTAGCCCAATTATGTATCGTGACTTAGAAATCAAAAACACGGCTGTTCGTGTCACAGGCACACACAGTGAGTGCTGCCATCTCTATGGGCAGATCTTGCCACCGGACATGCCTCTCGCACCGTCTCCCTCTTCCGTGGAGGCCGAGGCGCCACGTGTCCCTCAGCTCCCCTGTCCTGGGCACACTGCTAACTCACTCCCAGCCTCCTCAGCGGTCCTGTGGGCCCCGGGGTCACGCTGGCAAACGGAACATGGGCAAAGCTACCCGTTCAAACCTTACACCTCCACAGGGCCCTCTACCCTCCTCCACCCGCCTCTGCCTCTGGGATTCGGAGACTCTGGCCGAGAACGCCAAGGCCCTCAAAGGCGGCAGAGCCGTGACGGAAGGAGCACAGGTCTCTGGTGACTGTGCGGCAGGGACCCTTGCCAGCCCTCAGCCCACCTCAGAGGACTGAGACGTGAGCAAGACAGCCTTTTGCTGTGGTCGCCACTGAGCTCCTGGTGTGGATGAGAGCTGGCCATGCTGGCGGACACACCCTGACCTCGCCCTCACCTGAGGCCACAGGACCTGTGCTGAGTGAGTGAAGTTTCCAGAGTTAAAAACCAAAGGGCTCTGAGCTACATTTATTAGTCCATGTGGGCACATGCTATCAACTAAGGGTTTCAATGTCAGGTCTACTTCCTATAGCTTATCAGTCACCGAGGGGCCCGTGTGCCAGTCGGACCCCTGCAGCGATCAGAGGAGGTTCTCAGCCTCAAGCAAACAGGATAAGGGTCTGGAGGGACGAGCCCAGTTCTGTGCTGATTCCCCGCAGACAGTCGGGGGGGGGGGCGCCTCGGGGGGCGGGGAGAGACAGTGTGGGCCTGATGCACCTGTGACCTGGAGGCAGGGCCTCCTCACAGAGCCCTGCTCAGCTGAGGTGCAGACCAACTAAGCTGGCAAAACTCCTCTGGCGGCCAACACACCTTGTCCTCGCCTCGTCTCCAGCCCAGCAGCCTAACCTTCCTACAGCCGACTTGGGGGAGTTTACCCAACAGCCTGCAGGCCTGGCTGGGCGGACAAGGGGGGCATGGAGCCCCACGCTGAGTCCGAGCCACCCCCCTGTGACCAGCCTGGGGCAGCATCCTGGGCTTCATGGGCAGCGTCTGTCTCAGGGTCAGGCTGCCTGAGTCCCTGCAGGGGGGTAGAGCATCCATGAGTGTAGGCTGTGCTGAGTCTTGGGGTCCTGTTGCCGCTGAGGGGAGCCTCATAAACAGCCCATGGCAACAAGACGTGACCCAGCGCTGTGGGGTGTGTGCCTGCGCCACCCGAGCAGAGGGGAAAGGGCTCGCGCTGTGCGCCTGCAGGTGGTCCGGGGAGGCTGCTCCATACGCAGCACGGCCTGGTGCCCTGGGCGCTCTGAGTCCTGGAACTCGTGGCGGGACCTGGCAGTGCCTGCCCCTGCCTGCGGCTGCCCCGGCTCCGCAGCCGTCCTGGGGCAGGTCTGAGGGCTGAGTCCCTGCATGTGCTTGGGGACCGAGCTCAGACCATGGAGGGGCAACAGGGAGGTCAAAGGGTAAACACTCCACTCCCAGGACCCTCACTCCCAGAGGGGTCACATGCCCCTGAGTCCCTGGTGGCGGAGTCCCGGGGTCTCCCGTGGGGAGAGCTCTCCCTGCCTTGCCAGTGCCGCCAGGACCACCTCCAATGGAAACCCTCACACAGTCCTGCTCGGAACTGGGCTGCCGAGGAGGTAATGCCCCAAAGAAGCGCCAGTGCTGGACTGTCGGGCCCCTGCACACAGTCCCCGAGGGGCACAGCAGCCCAAATTTGAGAGCTGGCCCTGCCCTTCTCCTGAGCGGCTGTGAGCAGGGGAGCAGGCAAAGGTCCGGCCACAGACACGCCGTGCAACCCGCAGTCCCATGTGGAGGCTGCATCCGCCCAGGACACCGCAGGAAGGCACACGGCAGCTCTGCGTGCGGGCATTATCGCCGGGACCAGCAGAGCCCCGCGTCCACCGGCGGGAGCACTGCGGCCTGTCCGTCAATGGAACACAATTCAGCAACGCAGAGGAGCCGACTGCTGGCACCGCAGAGCCACACGAGGAAATCCCCAAACGCTGTGGATGAGATGGCCCTGCCCAGACAGCGTGTGCTCCACGGCCCCTTCTGTGAGACGTACTAGAAGAGGCACGTGAAACAACCAGACAGCGCTGCCTTTGCGGTGGGCGGGCTGACTGGGAAGAGGCCCGAGGAAACTCAGGGAGATACGAATATGCTGTATCTCGATGGGGTTTGGATTACACGGTGGGATCATCGAACGGTGCTGCTAAGACCTGCACCTTTTACTGGATGTAAGCCTGACCCCAAAAGGAACTCCAGACATATATGGAAGTCCAGGGGATGGGTGACGCTGACGTCTCCTTGGTAAGCCTCCTGCCGACTCAGGGAGGTAGAGATGGATGGAGGAGCTGCAGAGGGAACCGCGAACTCTCCAGGCGGAACACGCGTGGGCACTGCACCACTGCATCAACCTTCCCGCGCATTTAGAAGTGACCATGATAACCTGTCAGAGGTGGGGATGTAGAATGGACCGGGATCCCTGCCGGGTCAGGACCTGGCGCACAGCAGAGCAGCCCAGGGTCTGAGGACGGAGCAACTGGAGCACTGACCTGAGGAAGGTTTGTGCAGAGCCAGCCTGGCGTCGAGCAGGGCGGCGAGAGCACCAGTAAGCACAGGGTCTGCGCGTGCCCCCTGCCTGTCCTGCATGGAGGAGCCACTGAGATGGGTGTGGCCTCAGAGGCACAGAATGCCTGGGCCAGTGCCCTGGGGCTGGGGGACAGGAAGTCAGGGTGACCCTGGGGTCCTGGTTGCTGGGCAAGGACCAGGCTTCTGAGCTGAGGACATGATGGCTCTGAGTGTCGCAGGGCAGGTGGCCTGCTCCTGGGCCCCTCCCCACCCCTGTTTGTTAGTGGCTGTCCAATGGGAGGCCAAAACGCAACACCGGTGCTCACTTCGGCAGCCCATGTACTAAAACCGGAACCACCCAGAGATTAGCATGGCTCCTGCGCAAGGATGACATGCAAATTCGTGAAGCGTTCCAGACTTAAAAGAAAATAAAACAAAAACACACAACACCGAGTGCTGGGACTAGCAGGGGTCTCTTTCCTGTGAGGCCGCGCAGGCAGCCGGGAGGCGGCTGGGAGGGAGAGGGTCTCGGCCTCTGCCAGGAGCCCGCAGCGCTCCCGCCTCCACACGCAGCACCCACCTCACTGGCGCCAGCCTCAGCGAGGCACCGCAGGACCCTTTCACCCCTCTGCTCCCCTGTCCTCTGGGTGGGGACCTCTTGTGGGGGGAACTGTCTGTCCTCAGCTGGACCCACGGGAGAGCCTGGCCGCCTGCCCTGGGGCGTGTCCCAGTGGGTGGGCGGGCTGGCAGCCGAGCCGGCTCAGTGGCAGGGAAAGAGGAAAACCCCTGCCATTTGCAGGTGAGTGTCCCCGACACTGAGTGCGGGTTCAGATGTCTGCGCTCCCAGTGTTTCTCCTCTTCATGGCAAAGGTGAGAGTGCGTGAATCGCCCCTAAAATGCAAATAGCATCTCCGAAGAAGCACTCGGGCAGGACGAAGCCACTTAGAAGACAGCGGCATGAAAAGCTTGCGTCTGGCTTGATGTCCAAGGGCTGTCTTCTCCTCCGCTAAGGGGCTGCTCCTCCGGATCTCTGTGGGGAGCGCATCTGCTCCCCCGACCACGGCCACGTCCCAGGGACATTCTGGCCAAGCGCCTGCTGGGTTTGGGCGGCCCCCACAGACCCGCTCCACAGCCGCATGCTGGCTGACCAAGGAGCATGCGCTGGAGGGAGCCCGGGCAGCCCGGAGCCGCTGGGACCTGAGGCTGAGGATAGCAGGGCTTAGGGAATTCTCTCCTCCAGAGAGACCAGCGCAAGAGCCACACACGAGGCTCCGCTGGAAGACGGCCCAGGGATGTTCCCACTCTCCTCCAGGGAACAAAGCAGCCTGGAGCCTGGAGCCTGGAGCCTGGACCCCTGCCCCTGAGTCGGACCCTGGTCCGGTTCCAGTAGCTCACTTTCTGTGCGTGCCTGCTACCTGGGGGTGTGACAGCGGCTTCGCCTCCTGGGGACGCGAGGCCCAGGGGCCTGCAGGTGTGGGGTGAGCAGCCTGTGCTCACTGGGCCTCCCACACGCCGGTCCCTGCTGATGCTGCCAGGGGCACGAGGGCCCGCGTCTGTGGGAGTGACCAAGCTGACGATATTTCCGGCTTCATAACTGCCATCTACTCCCTGCTCTGCTGTCCCTGAAGGAGGTTAAATTAAATTTATCAAATCAATTAATTTTTTATTTTTCCATTTCTAAAGAAATGAAATAAATTAAGCAAAATTTTATCATTTTGCAAATTAAAGAAATAAACTATTACATTGTATTCTATATATGGGTATTTTTAAAACTCGGTAGTAATAAATCAATCTAAGTGACTCCTGAGAAATAGCCAGTCACCCCATTTTCAGACAGTGAGCCCGAAACTTCTCTCTTGGGGGAGAGGCCGAGCCCCGCACATTCTCATAATACAGCACATCTTATACTTACGTGGTTCTTTCATGGTCTCAGCATGTTACGTGCGTGTTTGCAATGCTGGCTCTGCATGCATGCTCTCCCTGGCTGTCCGTGAGACCCGGAGGCCAGGCGGGAGGAGGACCCTGGCCCAGAGACCCGCTCTCCTGGCCAGTCCACCCTCACCTGAGCGGCTGGTGCAGAGGCCCGTTAGCGAAAGAGCTGCAGGAGCGAGTGTGGGCGCCGGGCCTCCGGGAGCCTCAAGGAGGCGGGCGGCGGTGCTGGACGGGGCCTCCCTGTGCGGGTAAGGGCCAGCGGGACATCCACGGAGCACGGGGCCCAGGGCTGCTGTGTGCGGGCCAAGGGGAGGTCATCGACCACACCCGCTTCCTCGGGCTCTGCAGGCTCCTCCAGCCGCCACACTGTGGGACGCCCACATCGATTGTCAGGTTTAGAGAATGGCCGCTCAGACGGTCTAGCCCCAGCCTCTAGGCCTCCCACTGGGGCCCAGACACCATGGGCAGAGACGAGCTGACCTTGCGTGCCATCTCCCAGCTCCTGACCCAGCTCCCGTGGGCATAACCAGAGTTCCCGTACCGCGCCGGTTACCAACATGCCCTGCCCACATGGGGAGGTGGCAGAGGAGTGACCCCTAGACTTTGGAAAGGCCTCTATTTGTGATAACGACGTGGTCCTGCCTTACCCTGTCCCAGCCCCGTTGGCCAGCAGCACTGAGCACCACGAGGAATTCAGCCAAATGTCAGGCAGTGACTGAAACGGCCAGCTCTCCCTGTCGCCGAGTGCTGTGCCAACCCGACTCTCACCAACCCCTGAAAGCCCCGTCCCACTCTTCGCCTGGAGGGAAGAGGCCAGGACACGCCAGGCAGCCACCATGTCCTCGGTGGAAGCTGGCCTCTGGGCCCCAGCCCAGCATGGCCCTTATTGCCGGGCCAGTGCCTTGGGGCCCCTTCTGCCAGGCCCTTCCTGTGGCCCACGGGCCCTGCCAGGAGCACCTTTCCCGGGCCATCAGCAGTAATGGACGACTCCATAAAGCTCATGCAAGGACCTCCCTTGAAACAGCTGCCTGCAGCTGGGGCTGGCCGCCTTCCCTGAGCCAGTTCAGGGTGGCCCAGCCCTGCAGCTGAGCCTCTCAGGGGCTCCGGGTTCCAGCAAAGCCCACAGAAACTTAGATGGCCCTGAGCACCCATAGCTCTGTCCGCTCCCACCCACGGAGCCAGCACTCAGGGTCTCAGGGTCGGGTGGTCCTGAGGGAGTGGCAGGGAAAGGTGGGCAGGCCTGACCACCTGCCCTGGAATCTGGGCACCCCGAGCTGCTGTGAGAGTCAGGAGCAGTTTGTGCAGAGTGCTCAGCCTCGCCGGGCAGGGAGCAGCCCCTTCCCGGGCCCTGGGGGTGTGGCGGGACCCTGGGTGCTGAGCCCCGGGGCAGGCATCGCCCAGGCTGCTGACAGGGCTGGCTCACTCCACACGCTGTGCCCAGGCCCTGTGCCCAGCAGGAGCCCGGCCACCTGGTGAGATAGAGGCTTTTGATGACCCCAACGTGAAGGCACGTGGCAGAGGCCCTCTGACCCCCTCAGGCAGACGGCAGAGCTGTGCAGTAGCACAGTGGCTGGGGCCCAGAGGCCCGGTCCTGGCCCCAGAACCTTCCAGAGGCTGTGTCCCAGCAGACGCTCTGTGACACAGAGCAGGTGCCTTGACATACCACACAGCAGCCGCCAGCTCTTGGGCTCCCATCCCCGAAGGATGTGATGGGAAATGAACTTGGACCGCCCTCCCTGCAGGCAGTCAGCCCAGCCGGCAATGAACCTGTCTCTCTGCGGCCAGGGTCCCTCCAGCCCAGGATGCATGGATGTGCAGGTTTTCTTTTTCTTTTATTTTGTTTAATGTTTTTATTGATTTCAGACAGAGGAAGGGAGAGAGAGAAACATCAATGATGAGAGAGAATCATTAGTCAGCTGCCTCCTGCACGCCCCTTACTGGGGACCGAGCCCGCAGCCCGGGATGTGCCCTGACCGGGAATCCAGCCCTGACCTCCTGGTTCATGGGTTGACGCTCAACCACTGAGCCACGCCGGCCGGACCGTGTAGGTTTTCTTGAGGGCCCGAATCATCGGGAGAAGAGGAGCTTGGCATCCTGAGGTTTGGGGTGTGCTCTCTAAATCTGGGTCACTTGCAGTCCAAATTCCCAGGTGCTCATTGCTCAAGCCAAAGAGGAGGCAACGGTGGGCACTCCCTCCCGCCCGCCTGTGCCATTCTCTGAGGGGTGTGCCTGTCACCAGCCCCTCAAGTTTGCAAAGTAAGCGTGTAGACAGACTTCTGTAGACGGACTTCTGTGATGTTGATTGGACGGCATCTCTGCGGTTCGTCTCCTTTCTCTTTGTGCGGCTCTTCTTTATCCCCTACCACAGGGCCTCTTGACATAGTGTCACCATGCGTGTGCCTGCGTGTGCCTGCGTGTGCGTGTGCTCACGCGTGTGCACCTCTCTGGGAAGGAGTATGTGGCCCTCGTCGGGTCCTCAGAGGGGACCTGACCGTCCAGAGGGCCCACGTTGCTGCTGTCAGGGCCCCTTCAACCTTCTGGCCCTTTAAATACAGTTCCTCATGTTGTGACCCAACCATAAAATTATTTTCGTTGCTACTTCATGGCTACTTCATAACTGTAATGTTGCTACTGTTATGAATCGTAATGTAAATATCTGATATACAGGATGGTCTTAGGAGACCCCTGTGAAAGGGTCGTTCGACCGCCAAAGGGGTCGTGACCCACAGGTTGAGAACCGCTGCTTAGAGAGATGTCCCCTCCTCGTTCACAGGGGACGAAAGGCTGCCGGGCCCAGCAAGTGCTGGCGGGTGGGAGCTGAGGCTCTGCCTCTCACTGAGCTGCCTCTCCCGGCACCGGGGGTCCACAGCCCATTCCCAAACAAAACAGTAGAAGCACAATAAAATCAGGAGGTGTTGGGAGCGGGCGGACACCTGGCTGCGCATGAAGGTCCTCTCCGGCTGCTTTGGCAATGCTGCCCGGTCAGGCGCGGTGGTGGGCCTCCCCTGCAGCGCGGCCCCACACCATGCTCTGCAGACCGCAGGCTGCCCGGCCAGGCCCTGGGACTCATCCAGGCGACTGACAGCTGCCGCAAGGCGCACGCCCGGCGCCGCCCGTGGCATTGGGAGCCGGGCTCTGGAGCATGTCCTCCACTCGGGCTCAGGGCCCTGCAGGGCCTCAGCCACCTCCCCTGCCCCCCACGAAGCCTGAGCTGACCAGGCGCATTCCAGAGCCACCCAGCCCATCGGCTTGGCAGAGGGCGGCCTGGGACCACACAGCTGCTAAAAATGGCTGTTTCGCCCATTCCAGCCCCAAGAGGCACAGGCTGGCGTTCTTGTCGTAGTTGAAAGAGGCCCAGGGCTGGCGTTCCGGCAGCTGCTTCCCCAGGCAGCCTCCCGGCTCCACCGCGGCCCGGGTGCATTCCTCACGCTCTGGCCGGAGTGCTCTGCTTCTCACAGGGGCCTGGGGCGGGGGCGCAGGGGGGCACCCG